CCCAACCTTCTTTGGTGGAGGCTGAAGAGGCCAAGGTCCCCCAGTCTCTCCTCATAGGGTTTGCCCTGCAAGCCCCTAACCATACAAGTGGCCCTTCTCTTGGGGAGGCGGAAGAGGTCCAGGTGCCCCAGTCTCTCCTCATGGGGTTTGGCCTGCAAGCCCCTAACCATACAAGTGGCCCTTCTCTGGACCCTCTCCAGGTTATCCACATCTCTCTTGAAGTGTGGTGCCCAAAATTGAACGCAATATTCCAACTGCGGTCTGACCAGTGCCCGATAGAGGGGAAGTATCACCTCCTTGGATCTGTTCGTCATGCATCTGCTGATGCACAATAAAGTGCCATTAGCTTTTCTGATGGCTTCGTCACACCGACGACTCATGTTTATCCCTTTCCACTTCCGTTCCACCAAGCAGGTCATTTCCTAGGCAGTAGGTATGCTGGACATTTTTCCTCCCTAGGTGCAGCACTTTGCATTTCTCCTTGTTGAATTGCATTCTGTTGTTTTCCGCCCATTTGTCCAACCTGTCCAGGTCTGCTTGTAGTTGTTCCCTGCCCTCCGGTGTGGTCATCCAAGTCACAGCCTCTTAACTTGTTCACCAGTATGGTGTGGGATACCGTATCGAAGGCCTTCCTGAAGTCTAAGTATATGACATCAACCCCTACTCCTGCGTCCAGGCGTTTTGTAACCTGGTCATAAAAAGAGACTAGATTAATCAGGCATGATCTACCTGCTACAAACCTGTGCAGGTAGTTCCTAAACTCCTTTTGTGGGAGTTTATTAGGATGCTGTTTAGTGGCTTAGGTGTCTAAAAACTGTCTAGGTGGCACATATATGAAATTTAAAGACTTAACATGATTTGGGCCTGAGTGCTCTTGATGAGGGAGCACTGATTGGGAGGTGTGAATTTCTTTTCACCACCTAACAAAGAAGCAGCTCCAGTTTACATACAAATTTCCAACCCTTCCATTTCCAATTTTGACAAGTACCGGAGATAAACACTTATACTGGACTAGTTTATCTGACTGACTCAAACAGAAGAGAAAACTTTTCATGTAGCACACTTGATCTTTGTTTTATTTATATTCCTCTATGATGTATATTTTTCCAAACTCACCTGCTGTACAAAACTCTATGATTTCACTCCACTCAGAAACAACATAGTCCCCATCAACTTGCTTTGATGCAGTCTGTACTGCTACTGTATATTCTGTTCTTGGGCTCAAGAACCAGTGTCCACGGACAGTCATTGGTAGAGGAACAGCTTTTGCTACCAGTTTAGTGGGTACATCCTGATGGGATTAGAAAACAAAAATCAGATCAGTCAGCTAGCAAAAAAATGGATTCAGAAAGTCACGTAAGTTAAGGTAATTTTTTAAGGTAAGTTTCTATAACCCTTTTTATTCCTCTTATCTGTAAATCCTACTGGCATTTTTTACCAGTGTCCGAATTAAGTTAACACTGATGCAACAGAATGATAGTATTAAGTACATCACAGAATATACAGAGAAGATGAATTCGAGGGAAGGTGTGCAGGATAAACTTTAATCACAGTAAAGGATACTGATAAGAAAATGCTAAGGATGTTAAAAAGTATGAGGTTAGACAGGTCTGGGGCTCCTCTCAGAGTCTTAATATAATTTCACTGACTTCAACGGAATTCCTTCTGATCTACATCAATGCAAGGGGATAGCCAATAATTTATTTAAAAAAAAATTAAGATACAGAATCTTAACTAGTTCAAAAAATAGTTCTGCAAGTGTTAAAATAATCAAACCACTTCTCCTAAAAATAGCACTGAGAAAGGCAAATACCCATGAGCTGACTTTGGGCTTTATGTCTATCAAAGAGTTTTTCTGTGTTTTATATTCCAATCTGCTTAAATTGTTTTATTTTGTTTTTCTGTGTCGGTGCTTCAGACAACATCATGCTGACAAGAAAGATGGAGGTTCTCTCTCATAGCTAGGGAAGTTGCTCACAAGATGCTGAAATGCTTGATCTCCACAATATCAAGGACTGCAGCTTAGCTCTCGGGAGGCAGATGACATGTAATGTTTTCTTTCCTGTACTCTGCAGGAAACAGCTAATTTTTGCAACCTACAAACCCTGGAGAAAACAGTAATCTCCTTAGAAAAGGCTTTCACTGTTCCTGAGAACTAGGTGTTCAAAAGTATTAAGAAGCAGATTTCCAGTAGAAGCAAATGGACAGTATAAGATTATAATCATATTAATCCATCTCAAACTGTGTGATACTGGAATAAGACTCTATTTGGGAATAGCCAAGTAATATTAGGATTAAACAGGGTTGCAATGAATCCAAGGCTTGCATTGGGCACTATATCAACAGGGAGCATCAGTATTTACTGATGAAACAATACAAACACTGACCATCACTGAAGGAGCAGAAGGATGAGAACAAGGAAATCTAGATTTGGAGAAACCACAGCAGAAACAAAACGGGTGGGATGGTTGCTTTGGTCAATTGATGAGAGTGAGGGTAGAATCACTAGCACTAAGGATAAATGGTGAAAAGGAATCACAGAAATAGACCGTGGCAGAAGAAACCATTGGAGGTGTTTGCTGCAAGTAGGATGGCCAGGGGTCAGGTCAGATGCAGTGGCATGACACAGCTGTACCTCCTGTTTGGCTGTGTTGCACATGAGCTCATGGTACAGAGTATGCCTGGAGTTTCTGTTTTCCCATGATCTAGAGCCCAGGGTGTAAGTGCTTCTACTGCTGCTGCCAATCGTCCCCTCCTTCCCCCTGCTGATGAATTCAGTGGTGAGGAGGAGGAGAAAGGTGAACAGCAGCAGTATTTACCTCCTGGACTCTGGGGCCACAGAAAGCAAGGGTTATGACCAGATCCTATGTTGATCAGCTGGTGAGCTCAGTGCTCACTGCTCACAGTTCTGGGCAGGAACACAGAGCGCGCAGGGCACAGCGAAAGTCGGGAGGCTGCACCCCACCCCCTTTGCCCTATTCCTGGATCCACAACTGATTATGGGTGGTAAAAGGAAGCCACAGCTTAAAATGACTAATGCCATGTGATCAATAGCTGCTGTAAATAAATCCATATTCACACAGACGAGAATGACATCAATGTAGCCAGACAAATAATAGTAAAAAATCATGGCATGTTCCCCCTTTTTTTACTTTTCCATTATTGTAATTGATTTCTTATAATAAACAATTTTTGATTGCTTTATTATATGAAATAATGTCTTCTCTTTCCTGCTTTTTACATGAACACAACTGGAAGACTGTAAAACTCGCTGGTCTGTGGCTCTCAAGGAACTGAACAGTGATCAGCTGAGAAAAGATCTGAATTGATTTGATTTTTTTAGAATCTTATTTGGCTAATCCTGGTCTAACAAAAACACTTAAATGCTAGGGAGAAAAATATCCTTCTTGGTTGATCTGCCTCTTAAACTGATATCTAAGAATTGTAAGGTTTTGGGGATAATTTAATCAAAATACAGGGAATTACAACTGTAAAATTACTGTCATGATGTGAGACTTACTTACATATTTCGCCACTTCAAGTGAGTTATCGTTGTCTTTAATGGAAAATATTAGGTAGACTACAGACCAGAGATTTGAAGGACACATCTGAGGATCATAGACATGTATGTTTCTTCACATACCTCAGGGAAACTATGCAAATAGCTACAGGAAAACTAGGCAAATACAGCTGAAGAGATTTCCAAGACCACAGGTCTTAAAGTCATAGCTAGTTCCTCATTAGAAGTCTTTGATCAAAATTTCACAGCTTACATAATGGCTGCAAGGGATGTTCAAAGTGGGTGGCTTGTGGGGAGTTGTAGGTGTTTGGATGACCTTATTGGTGCATTTCCATATTTCACTATTTGGATTTATTTTTAAGGTGTAGCTTTAACTTTGAGTTTGCAGAAAAACAGTCATCTCTTTTGGAATTTTCCTTTTAAGTAAGTGAAATATAGAAAGAAAGAAAAAAGAAAAACATATCATTTTAAAAAACAGCATTCAATCCATCTCCCTAAACTATATCTTATGAAGATGTTATAGGAGTCTATCCAGATTATTAATGGTGCTGGTTTCAAAGTCAATAACCTGGGAAACAGAAATCATTGTTATTTAGCCTCCTTATAATATTTCCTTTGGACATGCAAAAAATTGTCATAATCCCAGAACAAGTATCTGCTCATATCACAAATTTGACTATTTCCACCATGAACTTTGCCCTATTCCCGCACGCCTCAAAATGCATATTTCCAGCTATCACATGTATGTCAGAAAAATTCTTCTAAAATAACAGAAAAGCACTGACCTACCTTTAGTTAAAACATAAGATCAAGGAATTACCTTTAGTATGTTTAAGAGGGCTAACATTACACTTTTTCCCCCTAATCTAAGGGATTTCTTTTAAGATAGCTGCCTTGACTTCAAAAACAAATATGTCATTTGAGATTTTACTTGGCACTGTCTATTTCTTCTTTCAATCTCTTTGGCCTTGATTCTCAGCTCTCTCTCTAAGGAAGTGCAGAGAATGTTGTGTCACTTCTGCACTGCCAAGATTTTGGAGCACTTGTTCAAGTCTCAGCAGAAGATAGGACAGCTCTAGTATATTCATAGGCTGGAACAATTTCCAAGAGCACAGACAGCAGAGAATAGGCAGTGTAGTGTATGCAAGTTTCATCACCACATGCCTCTTGTTGGAAAGATCTGACTGCTTTTCAGCCTCCTTTTTGCCACAGAATCAGGAAAAGGGGACTGGAATAAATCCCAGATTGGGAGCCTTTATCTTATAATTTTTCTTGTTCCATTTTTTCCATTATCTTGTTTGTCAGTTTTATTAGTAACAGAACTGGAAGTCATGATATTGAACATGATTTGCCAAAAATTGCTGTGCCCTGTTGGCTCCTCATAGGTGCATCCAGACTTGTGTGGACATTTGTTTCCCCGGGGACAAACAGCAATGGTGCACCTTGGGCTGCTGCTACTTTTCCCTGGGGAATGCCCGTGCCACACACACTTTTGACGCTCGGCAAGTTGCCCCGGGTGGGGTAGGGGAAGTTGGGGCCAGCCTTACCTGGGGCCCTGGGGGCCTCCTAGGGCTGCAGCCATGATGATTCTGCTGCATAGAGCCTGGCCGGCAACCACAGCACAGCTCCAGGCAGCCTGGCTCCGCTTTCAGGAGTGTGCACTGGATGAGCATGCGTTGAACCATTTTTTCCCCTGTGTTTTTTTTTTACCCCTGGATATCTGAGGGGGGGGGGTGTAAAAACACCCCATGGACAAAAACCCCCAGTGCAGTGCGCACTCGGGCAGCGTACCCTTGTAGCATGGAGAACACCAGACTGTGCGGTATGTGGCTTGGCATGTCACATACCACATGACCATGCTCATCTGGATGCACCACATTTGTTCACAATCTAAAGTGAAAATGACAGTTACTCTATATCGTGAGAAGAGTGTAGTAAAGCTTGATACAATGCTTGTAAAATGTTTTGAGAACCTCCAATGAATGAGTAAATTTTATTATGTCTATTTTAATAACTACAGACTAGCAAATAGTTGTCTTTTTCCACGAATAAGGTGATACTATAATAATAAATAATACAACCCCCCTTCCCTAAGGATAAATATTATCCCAATATGGAACATTCAACACGTTTGATAGCTGTACCTCACAAAGACTTTATTCCTCGAGGATTTTAGAGCTACTTATCAATGTTTTAATTTGCATTGGTTACAGCAGAGCCAACTAACTGCAGGCAATGAGAACAAAAAACATTTTGCTTTTCTCCACGTGGGCATGGGGCAGCAGTTGTAGCCTACCCCAGGTCTAGAAGGAGGGAACCCTCAGGCAGAAACAACTTTGCAAAAGTGAGGAATAGGTGACTTTTCTTCTGAATTCACTACTCCATTAACAAAAGAATACTGAAATCAGCCTTATGGTCCAAAGCCCAGTGGATTCAATAGAAAACAATAATTGATTTTAATAGGTTTGAGACCAGACATCTGTCCAAAGATAAAACTTTCTTGCTTATGCTGGTCTTCTATGGAGTCAAAACTGTCTTTCTCACAAAGGAAGATGGCATGGAGTAGTGGATAGAAGAGAGACTGCCAAGGAAATAGAGTTCTGTTCCTACCCCTGCTTCAAATTACAGTGTTACTTTCAGCATGTCACTCAGTAATTGACTTTAAAAAAGGACTTAGGCACTCAAAATTTAAGCGGTACAATGCCTGACTTTTAGGCATATAGTCCTTGGACTAGAATCCCGATCCCTGAGTGAGACATCTATGTTCCCTGTACAGTGCAATGGAGAAATCAGGAGCCTTAGAACAGAACCCAAAGTGACCGGCATGCTCAGTGGGCAGCTGCCTAAAGCTGACCAATATGCACTGCTGAGGAGAGCATTAAGTCTTAAATGCTACTTTTCAGGTGTCTTACTCAAGGCTGCAGAAAGGCACTATCTTCTACTCAGGTTTCATAGCCCTTAACCCTCTCTGGAAGGTAGAAATATATGGCTTTTCTTTTAAGAGTTCCTAAAAGCTGCCAAGGAAGGGGAGGCAATGGGAGTGATGGTAACTGATGGTAGTACTGACTTCCCAAAACTTTAGTAATGGTAATACCATAAGGAAATCTTTGCATATGTAGCCATACTAGGTAACACTGAATAAGCTCCCATTCCTATGCCACAAAGAGTTTCAGTAATTTCTAGATATAGCAGGTGTCCTGTAAACATGGCTGGCAACAAAAACAGATTAAAGGAAGTACAATATGCAACAAAATGTATCATTGTTAAACTACTAAAAAAACAGTGTTTTGCATTCTCTATTAAACCAAGCTGCTAGATATATCTCCATCCTTCTGACCAGAAGAAATCCAGCTTTTAACAGGTCACTAACCTAATTAGTATCAATATATTTCAAGTTAAATCCAATAACACAAGACAGATCTTATTTACTCCTCATTTTAATTAAGTGACCCAATCACCCTCATGTTGTTCTACAAAAGCAATTACCCATTTCCTTAGTCTAAGCAGTTTAGCACAGTGAGAAAATAGGTAACTGCTGAGAAAAAACAAAATAAAAAAAAAACTACTCGCAATCATGGTTATACTACTAACATCCAACAGTACACTAATTGTGATTTATATTTTGAGGTCAATGTGCTGTTTGATCCTACTTGGACAGCATAGTTTTTTCATAAACAGATTTTACATTAGTTTGTGCTTAGAAAGAAATCTGAATTATGAGAAGCACAGCAAAGAAAAAAAGAAAAGAATCCACCGACTATTCATGTTATTGGAGGGAAGATATATTTATATATCCAGCATAAAATGGGAATTTGACTTCAAAGGCTTCCAATGCAAAGCAAGATAAACAGCAAGAAGACTCATTTTAATTCAGTTGGTGTCACAATCATAAATGGGTCACAACATTAGACGCTGTAAACTGGAATAACTTCATCAATAATCAGTAGAACTATGCTAATTTATACCAGCTGAGCATCTGGATCAAGAAAGTTTCATGTTTTAAAACTCAGTATATAAAATAGCAGTAATGATTTTGAAGTAAGCACAACATGTACACACACGGCAGGTGCAGAAGTAAAAACTTTTCTTTCAACAATTCTCGTAAAACAACCAGAATGAAGCTGTAAAGGAGGGTGGGATGTTTATAAATATGATATTAATAATAGAGTAATAATAACTTTGAAAATAAAAAGGTCAATTGTATGCTGTGGATATGTTTCTTGATTAGTCCACAATCTTTTAATGGCATACTTGGTAACATTAAAGATTTCATGCTTCACTCTTATCTCCTTGGGGATTTGTGCTCTGATAGCACTTACATTTTACGGACCTTGCCTACACAGTTTTAGTCAGCAGATGACTGTGCTTTTTCTCTGTGTCCTTACTTCACCTCCATTTCAGTCCATTTATCAGCATTTCAGAACACAGCTCATAGTACTACAAGGTCAAATACATTTTTTCTTGGGTTTAAAAGTACAGAATCTGCCCCAAGAGCACCAACAAATGTCAGTGTGTCCTTTTACAGGTAGTTAAGGGGGAAATCATGCGAAAGTAGTATTTGGGTCACAAATACTGAAAAGGGGAGAAATTGCTACTTCATCTGAATGAGCACTAGGTGACAGAGAGGCACCAATAGAACCCTTTTGAGAAACAAATTACAATTTTTGAGCTTTGGGTCATGTTTTGTGTCATTGTTTTGAAGATATAATTAATTGAATACAAAAAGTTAGAGAAGGCATAAGTGTGTTATAATACACAACCTAGAGTTGCACAGAAACAAGAATTTCTTTTTTGCCAGATATTCCACAGGTGAGAAATCTGTTTTAGTTCTAAATCAAACAAACAAAGCAATTTGGAATTTTCTAAGAAATGAAATTTTGGATAAAAACTGTTTCAGATCCAACAAAATGTTTTACCAAAGACTTTTACTTTCTATTTTATCTTGTATTAAAATTTAGACTAGAAAGTCTAAAAGAAAAATTTTTTCAAATAAAACAATAAATAGTTCAATTTTTAACTTGTTAAAATGGAGTATTTTGATAATGTCTAAATTTTAGATCTCATTTTTTTCTAAATTAATTTTGTTTAAATTGACAAATTATTATGAAAAGTTTCAATTTTAATAAAATGGCACTTTCTGATGAAACCATTCCAACCAAACTTTTTCAATCATTTCTGTCAAGCCACACCTTTGTAATATGATCTGTACCTGGCTGCCCAAAGTCCTCAAAGGAAGGGCTTCACAAAACTTATATTTTTTAAACATGTGTCAAGCTTGCTGTTAAAACATTACCTTGTGTTTAAATTTGTTGGAATTCTTGTTCTCCTTCTTGTTTAAATCAACGAAATAGTGAGTAATACGGTCCTTAGATTTAGAATCCATGTCCCATGAAAGCTTGAAAGAGTCACATGTGATGTGACTTATTTTGATGTTGTGTGGCACAGGAAGTTCCTCCATATCTGCAATCCCACTGTCTTGTGATTTATTCCCTGTGTAGAAATAAGCATTAGATAAACAGCTACTGAGATGTGACTACTGGTATTCTTTTACTAGAGATAAACAATGGTATTGGCCAACCATTCAAAAAATATAGAGAGCTAAAAAGCAATGATCAGGTCCAACTATGTAAGCCCGATTCAGACTGCTGAGAATATGTTCTCTTTGAAGCAAATAGAGTATAAGTAAGGATTTCACAATCTGATCCATAATATAATATATAAATAACATAGTTGTTGATCCTTAGGGATGGCTAAAAATTATTAGTAGTTAATAATAAATGGTTACCATCCAACCTCCATATCTGGAAGGAATACAATTTGAAATAATTTGAAGTGATATTTTTAAGTATCAAGTATAAACAGTTTCTATATTTATTGGTGACAGGTAAATATAAACCTGACCCTAGTATATTTACAAACTGTTATATTTATCAAACTGTTGATACAGGTCAGTAGCATCTTACACGGAGGTTAGATTCTAAAGTCAGCGCGTAAGGCGAAAATCGCGTATAGTCAAATTGCGTATTACTGTGCCAGTGGTGACTGCCTCTGCCTCTAAAACCTCCTGCCGCCGCCGTGGAGCCGTGCTTAGAGCTGTGTAGCTGACAGCAGTGGGGCAGTGTGGGAGGGTGGGGGG